ATTATAATGTTACTTATCAAGGCAAAAAATTTATCCAATATCAAATAACCCTTTGTGAAAATGTATTTGCCCCCATAGTTCTATGAAACAGCATTTATAATGGGGATCAGCTAAACTAATGGGACCAAGCCTGATTCCTGCCAGCCAAGGGCAGTGTAGAGTAGCGTTTGTTGTTTGTTATTTCTCCGATCACAAATGCAGACATGGTTTTATGTTTACGCGGCGCGATACGCAACGCAACGATTAAAAACACCGTATAAGTCATTATAATCAGTAATTATGTCCCCACTGGATGCAACAAATGCCTCGTTTGTAATGGGTTTTATTGGTTTTGTCTTGTTGTGCCGGGAGACGGCATCACAGTATGTTGAGGGTAGTGTTGGGTCGTTCTTGAACGATTCGTTCATTTTGAACGAATCTTTAATGTGACTCGGGAAGAACGAGTCGTCTCGGGAATGATTCGTTCAGTCGCACATGCGCATCATCCTATAGGTTCTGTACTGGAATAGATCAAGTAGTTCACCTGGTTCGAGTCTTCGGGGTTTTCCGAGTCGTTCGTTCATCACGTGACAGACCCATAAGCTTAACCTATGCAGTCTGAACCGGAAAGAGAATTGATTAGTTCATCTCTCGAGTCTTCGGGTATGAATCATTCGTTCATCACATGACAGCCCCATAAACTTAACCAATGCAGTCTGAGCCGGAAAGAGAATTGATTAGTTCATCTCTCGAGTCTTCGGGTTTGAGTCGTTCGTTCATCACGTGACAGCCCCATAAGCCCAAACCCGAAGACTTGTCAGATAAGAGGTGAGGTGAGCTAATCATAGACTGAAGACCCAGGTAAACAATGAATTAATCTTTTCTGTTTCTTATAGCAGTTTTGTATTGTTTGTAGTGTGATCAACGTTTGCGTAAGTAGTAGACGTGTTAGGGAAGTAACACGTAACATTTAAATTATATTTTGTTAAAATGAACGAAATGACTCGAAAAAAGATTCGTTCATTTTGCTGAACGAGACTCAAAGGTCCGAGTCAGTAAAATGATCCGAACTTCCCATCACTAAGGCAGAGCCGTAGAGAGAGAGAGAGAGTTGCGACAACGGAAGTTCGAAACGCTTGATCGTCACGTGATTCACGTAGACTTTTTCAGACCGATGAGCTTTGTAAAAATTGACGCGTTTCAGAAAGGCGGGGCATAGAGGAGCAACAATAATGTACATTATGTGGAAAATAATGTGGTTTTTGAACCTTAAACCGCACAAACACATTGCATTACACCAAATACACAACATAATGTTATTTTCAGCAACGTCATATGACCTCTTTAAATCAACACTTACAACTTTTTCAACATGAAGTTGGTTAAAGGTCTTCCTCAATAGCACACTATGCCAAAGTGAAAGAATTACCAGAAATTATGAGAAAGAAGGTGACTTGAATAGGCTACATCAGTCCGGAAAGGCATACAAAGCTATTTCAACGGCTCTGGGACTCCAAAGATCCAGAGCCATTATCTCAACAACAAAAAAAAACTGTCACTGCTTTATCATTACTTTGTAACTGTCAACTGCCAGTCATAGTAGTAAATCATCAGTAAAACATCTGCTAAAACTTTATTTTTATGGTCCCTCAACATTAATTTTACTGACTATAAGTAACTTTGCAAGTACATATCAACTAAACCTAACCCTAACCCTCCCTAACCTAACAGTCTGCTAACACTATATTGAGAGTTAGTTTACATGTAGTTGCAAAGTTACATGTAGTTACTAGGATGTCTAAAGTGGACTGCCGAAATAAAGTGTAGCAAAGCGGAGAATGGTAAAGATTGTTTCCAGAAGTGGTCGACAACAATTCCTTCAAGAGCACAGCTCTGACTCATCCAGGATGTCACAAAAGAGCCATAGACAACTACTTTAGTATTAAGTGAACATTAAGTAAACCTATTTAGAATTAACTACTTTTATTCTTATGCTGTATATTTGACAAAATGTCACCTGCAATTGAATCTGTATGTGAACCAGAAACAATACTAGGCACACTGTAGCTTCTAATTAATAGATACTACTGCTGCCATCTACCAGCATCACAAGGTATTACAGTGGCACATTGAGAACAAAAACAGCATTGTAGAGTTACGGGACAGTATGTAATAAATAGAAATAGGTTTCACACCCTCTAGAGAAATAATAATTTAATTAATAATTTATTTCTCTTGAAAGCCCCTGGTTGGAGCAGCTCACAATGTTGTAAATACATTTTCTGGTTTTATTGTATTGATGTTGATCTGTCTGATATTTGTTATCTTCAAGGATGATTGTATTTCCCATGCCAACAAGAGCCTTTATGGAAGAACAGGACCATATCCCAGTTTTCCCTCTTCTATGAAGGTTCATGTTCATCTAAACGACCACAGTATGTCGTGGTATTTTGTCCTCATCAACCCAAATTCAGGGTCATTTTTCAGAACCGGTCACTTTTCAAAAGTTGTCCAATCAGGCCCCAGCGAGAATTGAACTCGCGACCCCTGGTTTACAAGACCAGTGCTCTAACCACTGAGCTATGGAGCCTCACCTGATGGCTGTTACTCATGTAAGTGACATAAAGAGCTCACTTTGAGCTAGCACAACAAAGACACACTTATAGGTGTGGGCAGACAGCCTGAGATGTCTTAACAGATTCATCAATGGTTTGAGGAAAAAGTCAAAGCTTAGGGTGTGAATCTCTTGGGGAAGTGGCTTGAGTGGTTGGTGGGGCCTTTTAATAGTTGTAATACAGAATCCCTGCACATTTATGCATATTCTTACTTATAGGAAAACATGAATATCAATCAACACTCTTTTAAGCCGTGTTAGTCTGAGATGATCAGACTCAGTCTAAACAACAGTCTGGCCACTTTCTTGTATCCCAACTGACTTAGTTTGTTTAAAAGGTGAGGTTTTATTTACATTAACCCTGTTCTGAAAAGGAATCAGTAGCTGTGTAGATATATGTGGTGAAGAGAAGGCGAAGACAAACTTGAGAAGAGCAAGACTTCCTGGTTCTAGAGATGCCATTACAATTCACTCAGTATTACAGTCAGAATGAAAGACTTGAGAATGCAATAGAATCAGATTCATTTGACTGTAATAAGTTCATGTAGGAGTTCAAGACTAAAGGTCAGACACAAATACACTGGAATTGATTGCAGCTGCTTAAATCTTTCAAAGAAGATTCGGCACCATCGTTCCTTATTCTTACAAGCAGAATCTAAAACATGCCACATTTCGGTTAGTTTGCAAAATGGAAAATTAAGAACCTTTACTGAGAAAAAAATTGTTACAGATTGAACATTTCATTTTAAAGATTAATAAAACATGTAAAAACATCATTTTTGTGTGGATTCATCAAAACTATAAAACACTGGGAAGACTCTCTCTGTGAAGGTTGTTGTCAGTGTGTGTAGCGTTAGTTGTGTTAGTTACGACCAGAGGAAATATCTTAGCCTATATGAGGAAGTCTTTGAATATTGGCTGAAAAAGGCAGAGAACTACTGCTGTAGAAAAGAGAAAGAAAGAGTTGATGTTGGGCCATTTGTGTTTGAATATGTTAGTTTTATAGAAATGCTTCATGATTCAAAGCATTTCAAACGTCACAGCAATTATCAACCATTTTTACTGCACATCCTGCATCGCAGACCTAAACGCTGTGTGTTCGTGAATAATATTATTAACCTACCAGACAACTTGTTGATATGCTGGTAAAATGAACCTAATATGACTCTACGAGGTAATATTTACAAAAATCACGAAATGCTACGCCTTTGTATTAAAACAATGCCTTTGCTTTTAGAACAGCAGGATCACTTTTTGTCGTTACATTTTTAAGTAATCCAGGCAGAATAAAGAAGAATACATAGCCTGCTTTTTGAATAGAAGTTTGAATGATAAAAGTACTGGAAGCACTGAATAAACTCAAGGACAACATAATGTTCTACTGAGCATGTAGCTCTGCATGGGGTGATTTCTCTCTCACATTTTTCTCTTTATGTCTCCAACAATATTTCACTTCAAAACATTCAGAGGGGTCCATATGAAAGAGAACGAAGTGAACTCTGAAGTTGACATTTGAGATGGCAGAAAAGGTGAAATGACAAGTAATGGCATTCAAAGAAAGGACAAGAACAGAGAGAATGAAATGAAGAAAGGTAACACTCACCTCTTTGAAGCCTCGTCTCTGTGGATATGATGTAAAATAGGCAAAATATGAAGAAAGTAATATTTCTAATATATCCATATAACTCTATATACCTGATTGCTATAAAAATAAACTCAAGTTAGACATCCTTAACGAGAAGAAATATCAATGTTTTCATATTAAATCTTACTGTGGTTTGGTCTGTACATCAGTTAAAATCGCAAATTTACAACTACACTGATAATGGTTAAAATTGAAATAACTGTTTTTGATGCTGTGTAAATTTTCATTACATTTCTCAGTGAAAGACAGACGAGAAGGGAGACATGAAGGACAAATGCCACTGTGGTGGATGTTGTATCAAACTCTACGGCGAGAGGAGAAATAATTACCTGACATCTGTTTTTAACAAAGTTAATTAGTCATTTATTTCCCCCAGTAACACATGCGATTGAAATATAAATGCCATTACCCTCTTGTATTCTATAATGAGTCTGTCATAGAGCATAAATCAAACTTAACTTCCGTGCTAACTGCTGTGAAAGGGACTAGGCAATGTGTTGGCCCTATTTCAAATTAAACTTGAAATATATTACAGAGATATTAGGCTCAATCATTTTATGTAGGACATCCATATTATTGTTTTCAGTTCAGATATCAACAAGTCTTAGTCATATCTAACTGAAAAGTAGAACACATAAACAAGCTGAAAGATTATTTATTTTAGTGTAAATATATAAATGACAATGATCTTTCATGTTGTTTTATATTTGTTCTACACAACCAGCGGAACCATCGAGGGAAATTGAGTGTAGCAACGGAATACAAACGCCTGGCACTTTCTCATTGCTTCCGGGTTAACGGGATGTTGTGAAGAGCTGCAGGCTAACGTGTATACAACATTTCAGGTTATGATTGTTAAAAGTCAATGAAGACACATGTCTGCCTCTTCTGAACTGGGAATATCAAAAGCAAGGGATTTAAATCCAGCGACGCTCTCGGCGGGTAAAGCTCAGACAGCGGCGGCGTTAGTTGCTCAGGCCCGGAGCAAGAAACGAGCCGTCAGTACCGCGACCCACACAAGCCCGCAGCCAAATAACAACAGCAGCAGCAAAAAGAAGAAAACACAACCTGCGTCTTCAACTACTCAGGCTCCGGTAAAGAACTAACTCTAGCCCTATACATGACAGGTCTACTGTTTACGTTTTTTGCTTCATTATGTTTCTCATCGATGGTGCAGCATTTGTCACAGGTTGCTCCAGTGGAGTCGACTTTTGAAGGAAAACCAGTGGGAGTTGTTGATGTAGAGACTTCTGCCAAATGTCTTCCTTTTAAAAACCCCAACTTTGTGGTAAGATTTTTTTTTTTAGATTAGAATAAAGTCTAAAATGTTCTGTGTTCCAGTTCAATACATTCATAAGTTCTTCCTCCTTCACTAGCACTCAGGTATTGGTGGAGCAGCAGCAGGGAAGAAAAATCGGACGTGGAAAAATCTCAAGCAGATTTTAGCAGCGGAGAAAACACTGCCCTGGAAAATCACTGATCCTAACTGTGAGTCTGACTTACAAAAGTAACAAACAAAAAAAACACACTTATAAATCAGACTAAAAGGCCTGTTCACACCAATGATGATAACGATAAAGATATAGTTTAAAAAAATAATACAAACATCTAATCTAATTGTCAAATCATGTCAGTAAACTAATGCATTTATACCTTTAAATGTTGTTCTATGTGTTGATTTAATTTGACAACATTTAAAAGTCTTTTGTTGTTTTTGTCTGTCAGATTGCAGCATAGATGCACCTCCTTCTATGAAACCTGCTAAAAAGTACTCGGACATATCAGGACTGCCGGTGAGTCTGTTGGAGAATGTTGTCTGTTAATAATTTGGAAGCAGTCGCAATTTTATGAGAGTAGTAGTATTATCTAACTATGCTTAATGATGTTTGTATCTTTGTTTCCCAGGCAAACTACACTGACCCTCAGACTAAACTGCGCTTTGCATCAACAGAAGAGTTTTCCTACATCCGTCAGTTGCCCACAGATGTGGTGACTGGATACCTGGCTCTCCGTAAAGCCACCTGCATTGTGCCATGAGAGAGAATATAAATCTTTCCTAAATGCACTTTTAAATGCTGACTGACCAGTGGATGTAAAGGACTAAGATACATTTATCATATCACATTCTGTTCCTTGTGTATGTTTATAGTTGCCGCCTTTAATTTGATTGATTTAGCACTAAATAATTCTTTTTACATTTAGGTTTTCAGTGTGTTGTTTAAATGAACTACTTGAATTCTTATGATGTTTGTTTGGCAAAATGAAATCTGAGATCACCTATATGTGTAACTTTGTTAAACCACTAACAATACAAAGCACAGTGTTGTCACAGTTGGCTTAATATATTTTAATTTCTCACACATTATTCTAACCAAGAAAGCCTCAACTTTTTTAATTGAACAACATTAAGAGAGCATTGTAAACTAAACTCCTGTAAATTAGATGATAACAAGCAAAACTGACAAAAGGTATATGTAGCGTCTTGACCATGGGAGTTACAGCTAAAGACAGACTTGTTATAAGGAAAACTTTGGTACTGGAGATGCTATTAACATACAACTTAAGAGTGCAGAAGAATTAGATTCATTTGAGCATAAGGTCATTCAGGAGTTCAAGGCCTTACTGATATTGGGTTTAAAACAACTACAGTTGGGTGACCATTTAAATCTTTAATATCAAGGCAGATTCAGTACCATGAGTAATTTTTCTTAAAGCAGCAGCAAAACAAACAAAAAAAATATTTGCTACAAATTATAATTATAATATTTATATATAATTTAATTATTAATATTACAGTACAGTGTCAGAAATGAACTTTTCCATTAAGGGGCCATTTTTGCCCCCTGAAATTGATTTCCAGGGACAGTTTTATCACCACCTTAATAATTGTGTCTGTTGTCTTTAATGTCAAATACTTGAATTTAATCAATTTAACTTCAATCAATCAAAATACTTAAACTATTGCCAATAACAATTGACCCTTCCCCAGGAGTTTGACCGCCAGGCGCTCTGACCCATCATAATGGCAAATATGCCATTTTGTCTGACAACAAACTCAGACAGGTGGACTTGTACTTGAAAAATGGTGTGTACATTATTCCGTGGTTGAAACAAAATATCTTCTCATGGTCTTTCATGTTTATTTTGTGATATAACTAGTAAAGAGGAAGAGATGATCGGTTCACGTGCAGAGACAATTATATCACACCATTGAGATGATTTAGTAGGCATATAAACAGTTTTATCAAAAGCTCTCTACTATGTATTCATACAACTCTTCATTGCCTTATGGAACAAACATTTGCAACATTTAACCATCCAGAAGCACATGTTCGCTTGCTGTGTGCTGCTATAGAACAAACAGGGTTTGGCACATATTTCAAAAACCACTACTGTTATTCACTCCTGTATGACTAAATGACAAGAGAATGATATGAAAACGAGCAATAACAATTCTTTGCTGTATTGTTCATCCCAAAGGGAGTGTTATCCTGTAAACCAGGGTTCCTCAAATCTTGCCCTGGAGGGCCAATGCGCTGCAGAGTTTAGCTTCAACCCTGATCAAACTCCCCTACCTGTGATTTTCTAATGATCCTCAAGACATTGATTAGCTTGCTCAGGTGTGTTTGAGCTAAACTCTGCAGGAAAGTGGATCTTATGGGCCAGATTTGAGGATCCCTGCAGTAAACTGTATAGTAATCCTGCAAAATCTCTCACTGTTTTTCTGTGGTTACAACCACTTTAGCCGGTAATATTTGCAGAGAGGAGGCTACATTATGACAATGAAAGAATGGAAAGACTCTCTCTGTGAAGGTGGTTGTTATTGTGCATAGATGTTTGTTAGTTACGGGATCACAGAATGACAGTTTTCCTCTGTCCCAGTCCAGCTCCAATCTCACCCTCTGAAGCTTCTCTTTAACTGGAAAAGGACTGTTGGGTTTCTCTGGGGATTGTGAGAAATATTCATCATCTTTGTACCAAACACACCAGACATTGGTGTTAAAGAAAACTCTTCCCTTCCTTGTATTTGATTCTGTGGTTACACCAATAATCCACCATGAATTGTCTCCAACCTCCACGTTCCAGAAGTGTGATCCTGAGTTAAAGCCCTCTGAACCCAGAACACAGGCATATTCATCAAATCTCTCTGGGTTATCAGGAACTGGTTGATGCATCTCACTGCGTCTCAGACTGGTCAGATCATCAGACAGAATCAGATATGTATTTGCAGTGTTTGGGTCTAGAGTCACAGGAGCTGAGGAGAGATACAAACAACATGTGCTTTTGTTCTGATGCTTATTTAACCAGTGTGAGTGAACATAGTATTATTCAGGCCCGGTACTAGGCTCGCTGGACTGGGGGGGCAATCAGAAATTGTGGTAGGGCAGCACTTTCTAGGGTAATATATTCATACCCCCACTAGACCCGGCCCTGGTATTATTGATAAATACTATTGCTGACAAATGTTCAGACAGTTTCCTCTGATTTTGAACAGTGCTATTATGGATAGACTTGCTTTGTAAATGTAATTAACTTTGTATTTATTTACAGGGAGTGGGGGTTTAAGAGGTTCTATAGTCTGTTCATTGAGCCTGGGGTAGAAGAGGATACCCTCATAAAACTGTTAGGCCATTTGAGTTAATTGAAAACACTGTGTATGTTTACACTACTCACTGTTTCGAACAAGTTCCTGCATCTTCTTCCAGACTCTGAAGGTCAGGTTTCTCAGATGATCTGCCACATTAATCAAAGCTCCTGAAAGCATCTGTGGATCCTGCTGTGAACTCTGGGCTCTGGAATAACATCCACCAGTTAGAACTGCAATGAGTTTGAGTTCACAATCAAAGACACAAGTCACACAACATCTCACTTACCTTTCCAGTGTGACATTAAATCTCTGGAAAATATACAAAACAATTTATTATCACCTTAAATTATTAACATTTTAATATTATGTCACAAGACCTTATCAATACAAAGTGAGAGTTTGACTATGCTGGACAATAAGCAAGTTGTTTTGTGCACAAGAACAAATATTCAGTTCTCACATGTAGAAATGAGGCATCACTGGTGTGAGGCATCATCTTTTCCTCTATGTCTTTTATTGTGTCTGATAGAGCTGAGATCTGTCTGTTCATCTCCTCAAGCTTCTCCTTCAGCATCTGACTCTTCTGCTCTTCCTCTTTCCTCAGTGCAGTGACTGAAGCTTCTTCTTCATCTCGCAGAAACTGATGAAGCTTCTTAAACTCCTCTTTAATCTGCCGCTCTGTGTGCTCAGCCTGAGTCTGAACATAAAAAATAAAGAGATTCACCTCTGCATTTTCATATAACAGATTACATATTTTCATGATAAATTCATTGTTAAAAGTATTGATGATTTGATTCCTGATACTCACCTTGATGTGCTGGATTGTTTTATCACAGTCTCTTTTATTGTTTTCTGTGTGTTTAAGCTTCTCTTCTAAAGACTTCAGTGCTGTTTTGAGCTGCTCCTTGAAGTTAACAAAGTGTAACAGAACAGGTAATACATTTGCTTGTGGTTACATGTTCTTATTACTCTCTGACTCTCTGGAATAAATTACGCCGATCAATTCTGATTATTGTGTTTATCAATGGTTTATCAATGGTACTATCATTGTGATTTTATGTTACCCTAATATAAAGTGAACTGACCCCTTTTTCCAGTCATAGACAACTGATTGTTTAGCATGAACTACTTTCATTCTTATGCTGTTTATTTGACCAAATATAGTGATATCACCTAAATTTGTAATTGTATATGAACCAATAATGATATAATGCAAATGCAATACAAACTTCAGCCCTGATGGCTGTGGCTGGATATATTTTATTCTGCTGCCATCTACCAGCATCATAAGGTATTACAATGATACACTGGTAAAATAAACTAACAAACCTAAATTTGCTCTAACTTGCCTCTTTTAACCAATTATGATTTCATTATTGTAGCAGACATGAGAAATGTGTCCAACCTTGTAAGATGGAACAACTTCATTAATGGGGCGGAATCTGTGACTGACATGTTTTTCGGAATCTCTGCACACAACACACACAGGTTGTTCATCATCCAAGCAGAAGAGTTTGAGTTTCTCATTGTGGAGACTGCAGACCTCCTCAGACCCTGAAGCACTTTCTACTGTGAATGACTCGCATAAGTTTTTTAACACCAGATTACACGGAGGTTCGTCTCTTGAGGATCTTCTCCTGCAGACAGGACACTCCTGAGTATTGCGGGTTTTCCAGAACTGTTGAAGACACTCTTTACAAAAACTGTGACTACATGACAGGATAACAGGAAAACCAAAGATTTCACAGCACACGGGACAAGTAAGATCGTCCACAGATACTGTTTTCGCAGAAGCCATTCTCAGCTTTTCCTCAATTTTTTTCTTTCACTTTCTCTTCTCTGGTTTCATTAATAACCATCAGAATCAGCAGGCCTGCTGTCTATTCCGTTCTCAGTCCAGTAGAAATATATGGCTAAAAAAGTTTTGTATGTTTTTCTCTCTACATCACTGAATCCTCTCTGCTTTTGTCCAAGAGTTGAGGAAAGTGTGGCACCAAGGAGAGAAATAATAAGAGTCGCTTCCTGGTTGTGAAAGAGGGAGGAGTTCATGATTATCTGGAGCTTCTGGTACTTTGAGACTTCTTTAGTTGATATTCAAGTTCCTACAAGAAAGCAAGAATGTGAATCGAGAAATAAGTGTTTTGTTAAACTAAATAACTTAAGAAATAAGTTTTGATGAGCTAAGCTTAAACTGTTCTGTGGACAGACAAGGAGGTTATTGTAATAGTTTATTGATTCACTGAAATTCACAACGCAAAGTCACAGATTTGCTCTATTGGACCAAACAGGTTGAACTGAACTGAAAAGTTCAGTATCATATTCCTTCTCTGATATGCTGTCATACAGTTTGATATATTCATAAGTCATTAATTTTTCACAGTCTTGCCTATAAATAAAGACTTAAAGGGTTAGTTCACCCAAAAAGGAAAATTCTGTCATCAATTACTCACCCTCATGTCGTTCCAAACCCGTAAGACCTTCGTTCATCTTCAGAACACAAATTAAGATATTTTTGATGGGATCTGCTGTGCGCAAAAGCAAAAAAAAAAAAGACTTTATTCAACAATTCGTCTCCCCCGCCTCACCCTAGCGCCATTTTGGAGAGTATCCACTGAACGCAAACAGCATATGTTGTTCTGTGTCAGCTGCGCCACGCGGATACATTGTTTTCATTCACATCAAAGCACAAACAACATAGAAACTATCCCTTTAACTGATTTGGTTGATTGTGCCTGATTGATCCTTTTTTTCAACAGTGACAAGAGCCTGTAAGAATTGTCCTCTGTAAAGGTTCACATTCATCCAAGTCAATACAGAGTGTCATGTCATTTTTAGTCATTTTTTTAGACCAAATTGACAGTCTTTTTCAGAACTTCATAGGTCAAATTATGAAATGTAACCACTGAGATATGGAGCCTCACCTTTAATTAATATTTTAGTATTACTGTCATATTTTGCCCTGGAAAAATCACTGATCCTAACTGTGAGTCTGACTTACAAAGGTAACAAAACATATGAATCAGACTAGTGTTGTCAAAATAATATTTTTAACATTATAAGAATAATAATGCCAGACCATGTAAGTAAATGGATATGTTTATATCTTAAGTGCCATGTCAGAGTTTCAGTGTGTTGATTTAATTTGACAAGGTACAAATGTCCCTTCTGTCTTTTTTTTCGGTCAGACTGCAGCATAGATGCGCCTTCCTCTATGAAGCCTGCTAAAAAGTATTCGGACATTTCAGGCATACCGGTAAGTCTGTTGTAAATTTTGTTTTGTTAATAATGTAGAAAAAAATATATTATTGAATATTTTGAAGCTGTGACACTAAATTTATAGACTTGATGTAACATTTGATTTCTATAACCACACTTAATGATGTTTGAATCTGTGTCCTAGGCAAACTACAGACTAAACTGCAGTTTTCCTTCCGTCAGTTGCCTACAGATGTAGTGACCGGATACCTGGCTCTCCGTAAAGCCACCTGCATTGTGCCCTAACAGAAAACTCCCCCCAAAACACATATGTATGCTGACTGAATGCTGAATGCTACAGGATATGAAGAACATACTTGCATCAGATCAAATTCAGTTTCTTGTGATTTTTTGGTTTCTTTTTTTATTAAATTGATTGGTTAACATAATATAAAGAAGAGTGACCCCTTTTCCATTTGTTTGTCAATATACTGTTTGCAGTGAACTACTTAAAGTTTATTCTGTATTTTTTATTTATTTTTTATAAAATATCATCTGAGATCACCTATATTTGTAACTGTATGTTAATTAAAACTATACACTGCAAATACAATGCAAACTGTAGCACCTGATTCCTGGATAACTTTTGTTTTGCTGCCATCAACCAGCATTATGAGGTACTACAGTGATACGTCGAGAAAATAAATCAACACACTAGAGACCCTTCTGAACTTTCAAAATTAGACAGTAAACCCACATCAAGACAGTGCTGTTAAAGCCTTGGAGACTTGGATGGTTAACTAAGATCAGAACAGCAGTCTTGCTGCTGTTTTATATGGAGCCCAATTGACTACATTTGTTTGTAAACTTATTACACACACAAGAGCCTTCTACAGAAGATATATATAGACTACTTAAATTGTTGATTGCTATCAGGATGTAAAGAGATTTTCAAATGGTTGAAAATCTCTTTACATCCTGATAGCAATCAACTGTTTAAGTGGTCTATATATATCTTCTGTAGAAGGCTCAGGACCATAAAATGTTCGACTAATCATTGCATTCAGTCGGAATGTCCTACCTGCCTGTCAAACTATATATTTGCATATCTCCCCGCTGCCAATAGTGAGAGTTTTGGGCGTGGCTACTGTAGCAGGCTGAACTAAGGGGTGTTTAGCTGGTGTAGAAAAATAAATAAATGATCCTTGCTAAAATACACAGAGAAAGAAAGTGGGGTAAAACAAAGGTAAACATTGGCAGTGTTTTTACAAGATGGAGGAATTTGTTGGGATGTTTGGGTTTCAATCGATACGACAAACTTGCAAAGTTTCTTCTTGACAGGTAAGCTAAACTTAAAGTTAAAAGTTTTCCTAATATGTTCGACCATGTATTGAAAGAAGTCGACTTTTACCTTCTTTTTAATAGACTTTATAGACCTGTAATAGCTGTTTTTGTGATGTTTGAGTTGGGGAAGGCGTTATGCACGAAAGGAGCGTTTACAATGGTTGTTGGAAAATGACTTTATTTTTGTACTAGGTTACCGCAGGTACCCTACCTTTAAATGGATTAATTATCAGACAATGATTCATTTCATCACCTCACCAGTCACCATACGGTGATCAATTCCTGAGAAACTGTCCCAATTGCAGGATGGAACTGAAAAAACTTAACATGCAAAAAGTGACAAAGTGTTTAGTGTCTTGACCATGGGTCAAGTTAGACTTGTTAAGAGCAAGACAGTGGTAGTAGAGATGGTCAATACAAGAAATGAATATGGCATTAACCTACAACACTCATTTTGACAGCGAATTCAGAAGAATTCAGATTCATTTAACTGTAATAGGTTCACTCAGGAGTTCAAGACTGAAGATCAGTCAGATCAGACTCCAACAACCACTTTAGCTGCTGGTAATATTCTTAGGGGGAAGGTTTCATCACGACTATAAAAGAATGGAAAGACTTTCTCTGTGAAGATGGTTGTCAGTGTGCGCAAATGTTTGTTACTTAAGGCATCACAAAATGATAGTTTTCCTTTGTCCCAGTCCAGCTCCGGTCTCACCTTCTGGAGCTTCTCTAACTGAAAAGGGGGTTGTTGGGGATCTCTGGAGAATGTGAGAAATATTCATCATCTTTGTACCAAACACACCAGACATTGGTGTTAAAGAAATCTGCTCCCTTCCTTTTATTTGATTCTGTGGTTAGACCAATAATCCACCATGAATTGTCTCCAACCTCCACATCCCAGAAGTGTGTTCCTGAGTTAAAGCCCTCTGAACCCAGAACACAGGAATATTTATAAAATCTCTCTGGGTTATCAGGAACCAGTTTCTGTGTCTTGCTGCGTCTCAGACTGGTCAGATCATCAGACAGAATCAGACGTGAAGGTGCAGTGTTTGGGTCCAGAGTCACAGGAGCTGGGGAGAGATACAAACAACATGTGCTTTTATTCAGACGATTTAAATAGCATTAGTGAACATTATTACTAATAAATACCTGTCCTATTGCTGAAACTTTTTTGCTGACAGTATACTGGGATTTTGGTGAGTGCTGTTTTTGGCAGATCATCTTTTTAATTTATTTTAACATTAATTTACAGTGGTCAGGAAGGGGCCTGCCCATAAAAAATGTTCCTGTGACCCTGAGAATTTAAGCAAGGACCTTGCATAAGTTTACATTATGTCTGTAACATCTTAGCTCTTTAAAAGACTCACTGTTTTGAACAAGTTCCTGCATCTTCTTCCAGACTCTGAAGGTCAGGTTTCTCAGGTAATTTGTGACATTAACCAAAGCTCCTGAAAGAATCTGTGGATCCTGCTGTGAACTCTGGGCTCTGGATAAAACAATAACATCCACTAGTCAGAACTGCAATGAGCGTAGTGAGTTCACAATCAAAGACACAAATGACACAACATCTCACCTACCTTTCCATTGTGGCTTTAAAATGCTGCCAAATATGAACAAAACAATTATCTCCTCTAACAATCAATATTTCCATTAATTGTGCAATTAATTGTGTTAAAGGAGCTTCTCAATACAGGGTGAGAGTTTGACTATGCTGGACAATAAGCAAATTGTTTTGAGCACAAGAACAAACATTCAGTTCTTACTTGTAGAATTGAGACGTCACTGGCCTTCATCTTCTCCTCTGTGTCTTTTATTGTGTCTGATAGAGCTGAGATCTGTCTGTTCATCTCCTCAAGCTTCTCCTTCAGCATCTGACTCTTCTGCTCTTCCTCTTTCCTCAGTGCAGTGATTGAAGCTTCTTCTTCATCTCGCAGAAACTGATGAAGCTTCTTAAACTCCTCTTTAATCTGCTGCTCTGTGTGCTCAGACTGGGTCTGAATATAAAAACAGAGAAGTTTACCTCTGAATTTTTATACTGTATAGATGAAAAGTTTTGTCCATATAAATTGTGTTAAAAAACTGAGAATTTGACTCTTAGTCAATTAGTTTTATTATACTCTCTTTTAATTTTTTCTGTGTGTTTAAGCTTCTCTTGAAAGGACGTCAGTGCTGTTTTGAGCTGCTCCTTGAATTTAACAGTGAAACAGTGAAAATCTGTTTGATCAGTTTCAGTATATGCATATACAGTGCAAACTAGCTACTTATGCATGGATACATTTTATTTTTATTACAAAGATGCATTGAAAGAAAAATGAAACTAACTTCTTACACTTTCTTCCACGAATTATAACGTCATTACTTCGAGTAAAGAAGAGAATGTGTCCTAACTTGTAAGACGGAACAGCTTCATTAATGGGGCGGAATCTGTGATTGACATGCTTTTCTGAATCTCTGCACACAACACACACAGGCTGTTCATCATCCAAGCAGAAGAGTTTGAGTTTCTCATTGTGGAGACTGCAGACCTCCTCAGACCCTGAAGCACTTTCTACTGTCAATGACTCGCATACGTTTTTTAACACCAGATTACACGGAGGGCCGAGTTTTGAAGATCTTCTCCTGTAGATAGGACAATCCTGAGTATTCCTGGTTTCCCAGAACTTCTGAAGACATTCTTTACAGACACTGTGACTACATGACAGGATAACAGGAGCCTTGAATATTTCAGGACAAGAAAGATCTTCCACAGAGACTGTTTTCACAAAAGCCATTTACAGCTTTCAAATCCAATGATCTTGACTTGTCTTTCACTTTCTCTTCTTTTGCTTCATAAATAACCATTAGAATCAGCAGGTCTGCTGTTTGTTCTAGAGCCTCAGTCCAGTAGAAATACAAAATCCTTTTTGTAAGTTCTTCTGTCTACATCACTGAATCCTTTTTACTTTTGTTGAGATAAGTTGAGATAAGTCACCCTATGGCACCGAAGAGAGAAATCCTTCCTGATACTTTTTGAAAGAGGGTGGAGTTCATAGTGATTGTCTGGTTCTTTGAACCTTCTTTTGTTTATTTTAATCAAGCTTTTCCTGTAAGGGAGTGAGTATGTGAATCAAGCAATGGTTAAACAACTGCACAAGTTGAATTATACTGATCAATTGAGCATCTCACTTCATGTTTCTTTTCTGACGTGCTGTCATACAGTTTGAGGTATTCATAAGTTCTTACTTCTTATGGATTTTTATGGCCGTAAGCTTGATTTGTCACTCCACTATAAAGTGACCCCATTTCCACTCATACTTTTTCCACTCATTAGATTTTTATTGGATTGTTTAAATTGAACAACTTTTATTCTTGTGCACAACAATAGCTCCTGACACCTAGATACATTTTATTTAGCTGCCATCTACCAACTGTAAGAAACTATAGTCTGCCTCGACCCAGATTCCATTCCACAATATATGTTTGATCATGCTCATTTCCCAAAATGGCTTAATTATTATAGAGAAGAAGAAAGTCAACAGTTAGGTTGTTTCTAGACCGTTTCAGATAATCCCATCCTGAGCAAATGGTCACCAATTGTAGAATGGGAGCGGGTGTGGGACACTGAGAACCATCTCAGACAAAGGAGTGTCATAACTTAATTAACATACACAGCTGTTATGACAGGAGCAACTTAATTTACATTAATGGTAGTAAACTGGAACTGCATAAAAGGTTTGAGCTTAGGATGTTCGGGGTACATTCCGACTCCATTGAACCCAAGGTACTATATGTGCTTTGTCACTGCTATGCTGCAATAAACATCTTCATCGAGATCTTCGACGTCCTCATCACTTTTTCTTATACAATCTAGAAATTTCTATTTTAACCAGTGGAAGAGCTAGACTTTTCTATGTGGGGTGGCCAAGGCTACTTCAGGGGGTCCACAGACCATGAAAGAAAATTGAAGGCATCAAAGGAGTATGAATGGATCTATGACTGGACCAGATGTTCTCCAATGTGGCAGATTGTGTTGTCCAACAGGGTTACTTCACATTACTCATTAGGTAAAAATTCCTATACTGTACCTTATGACAATGTGACTGCAATGTATATGTGTGTATAGCTTTCTAGTAAAGATAGCTTTCTTCTCTTTCTTCTTTCACTATAGCTTTCTATTTTTCTATTCTATCTACTTGTTTTTCTTTGTGTGTGTGTGTGTGTGTGTGTGTATATGTATATGTGTGCGCATTTTTGTGACAAATGAGGACATAAATTTGTATAATGACAAGGGTATGAAAATGTGTGTATTACTAGCACAGATGTAAACATAATATATGTTAGGCTAAATTTGGATCTCTCTTATCTCTATTACCTATTTGATTAACTTTAAATTTGATTTGATAAACTATTTGTTAATAGAGCAACATGTGTAACGTTAACATTCACAGCTACTCCCCTTTCGTAAAACATAAAGCCAATGGATGCGATGCATTCTCAAATTCAAGGTGTCAATCCAAAACAGTGAATCTAATCACAGGTAAAGGTTCACTTCAAGAATGAACAAAGTGGCTTGTCTCCGGTATCAACCCATTCTGTAGTAAAATCAGCAGAAAAAAGTAAGGGTGATCTATAATATTAGGCTGTATCTTCTCTGTATAAGTTTATCCAATCCACAGAAAGACAAACAGTCTTTACACACACTTTACACAGTGTTTGACCACGTGGAATTTATTTGTTTTAGCCCAGGGTAATTTTCAGAACAGGTCATGCTTCAAAACTTTTCTCGGGCTCTGGAACACCCTTCAGAACTGTAGTGAGTTTGAGTTCACAACCAAAGACACATTTGACACAATGGCTCACCTTTTTTATTGTGGCATTAAATCTCTGTAAAATATACATTTACATTTACATTTAGCTATTTAGCAGATGTTTTTATCCAAAGCGACTTACAAATGAGAAACAAAACAAAACAATTCAGTATCTCCTCAAACATTATTTGCATAAATGAATTGTATTAAAGGAGCTTCTCATTATAGGGTATGAGTTTGACTGTGCTGAATAATAAACCACTGCTCTGTGAGCTCTGCATTTCCATATAACAGATTTATTGTTGTGATTGTCCATAATAAATTCTATGTTGAAAATATCGAGAATTTGACTCCTGATCCTCACCTTGATGTGATGAACTTATTACACTCTCCTTTCTTTCTTTCTTTCTTTCTTTCTTTCAGCTTAAGATCTTCTGTGCTGAATTGAGCTGCTTTTTGAATTTAACAAAGCAAAAATCTGTGTGATATCATGAAATACAGTGACTCATTGAGAAAATAAACCAACAAACCTGGAAAAGTATCCTTTTAACTGAGACTCTCCTTAACTTTTAAAATTAGACAGTAAAACTACTTCAATACAACATTGTACAGTAAAAGGTGTTGATCTTAAAGTGATCCAAATACTATAACCAGTTAACACATGTAAACTAGATGATAAATAGAAATAAGTCTTATACCCTCTAGAGAAGGTAATAATTTATTAATTAATTTTTATTTATGTCTCTTGAAAGCCCTCATTGGAGCAGCTCACAACATTGCCAAAAACAAAGTCTTGATCTTGGTCTGCCAGCTAGTTGGTCTCCTCAAGGATGTTTTTTTTTCTCCATGCCAACAGGAACCTGTGAATAAGAACAGGACCTGGTATACAGAACTGAGAGTCCTAGTTTTCCCTTCTGTGAAGGTTCATGTTCATCTAAATGGCCATAGTAGGTCATGGAGTATTTAGTGCTCTTTAACCTAAATTCAGGTAACATTTCAAAAGTTTTCCAATCAGGCCCCAGCGAGGATTGAACTCGCGACCCCTGGTTTACAAGACCAGTGCTCTAACCACTGAGCTATGGAGCCTCACCTGATGGCTGTCACTCATGTAAGTGACATAAAGAGCTAACATTGAGTTAGCGTAACAAAGACACACCTATAGGACTTGGCAGACAGCCTAAGATACACTATATGGACAAAAGTATTGGGACTCCTGACCATTGTGTATTGGAGTTGGTCCCCCTTTTCCAGCAATAACAATCTTCTGTGAAGGCTTTCTATAGGATTTTGGAAAGCTTCCGTGGGAATGTTGCCCATTCATCCAGTAGAGCATTTGTGAAGTCAGGCACTGATGTTGAACAAGAAGGCCTGGCCAGTTCATCTTAAAGGTGTTCATTGGGGTTGAGTGCAGGTCTCTGTATGGGCCAGTCAGGTTCTTTCACACCAAACTCAACTAACCATGTCTGTATGAGCCTTGCTTTTTGCACTGGGGCACAGTCATGTAGGAATAGAAAAAGGCCTTCCCCAAACTGTTCCCAAAAAGGCATCGCATTATCCAAAATGTCTTGGTATGCTGAAGCATTAAGTTTTCCTTCATTAGAAAGTAAGGGACCAACCCCTGAAAAACAATCCCATACCATTATCCCTCCTCCACCAAACTTTACAATTGGTACAATGCAGTCAGGCAGGTAATATTCTCCTGGAATCTGCCAAACTCAGACTCGCCCATCAGACTGCCAAACAGAGAAGCATGATTCGTCAATCCACAGAACATGCTTCCAGAGTCCAGAGGCGGTGTGCTTCAAACCACTCCATCCGAGGCTTGGCATTGTACTTGGTGATGTGAGGCTTGCATCCAGCTGCTTAGCCCTGGAAACCTATTCCATGAAGTTACTTCTGCACATTGTTTATGCTGATATTATTGCCAGTGGAACTTTGGAACTCTTCAGCTATGGAATCAGTGAAGCATTTGCGATTTTTACACACCATGTGCCTTAGCACATCTTCTGCTTCATGGGGGAATTGCTGCTGTTTCTATATGCTCTCACTTCCCAATAATATCACTTACAGTTGACCATGGAATATCTAGCAGAGACTGACTTATTGCAAATGTGGCATCCTATCACAGTACAACACTTAAATTCACTGAGCTCTTCAGAATTACCCATTTTTCACAAATGTTTGTAAAAGCAGACAAGACTAGGTGCTTGATTTTATACACCTTTGGCAATGGGTCTGATATAAAAATCTGAATTCAATAATTAAGAAGTGTGTCTTAGTATTGTCTGTATAGTGCATCTTAACAGATGCTTCAATGGTTTGAGAAAAACTCAAAAGTTCAGTGTGAAAGTGGCTCTAGTGGTTGGTGTGACCTTTTAATTGTCATAACATAGGATCCCTGCACATTAACACATATTCTCACATGTAAGAAAACATGAATATCAGACCAAACTTTGTAAACTGTTTTAGTCTGACATGACCAAATTCAGTCCAAACAACAGACTGGACACTTTCTTGTATCCCCACTGACTTAATTAGTTTGAAAGTGAGGTTTTTATTTACATGGACACTGTTCTGAAAGGGAATCTGTAATCTGTTTCCTGTTAATCTGTAGGAAAGCAAGACTTTCTAGATATGGCACTAAAAATCATTCAGTGTTACAGCCAGAAAGAAAGAATTCAGAGTGCAATAGTAAGTAATAATAAGTACAGTAAAAACAGTAATATTGTGAAAAACTATTACAAATTAAAAGAATTGCTTTCTATTTCAATGTACTTTAAAATATAATTTATTCCTGTGATGGTAAAGCTGAATTTTCATCAGTCATTACTACAGTCTTCGGTGTCACGTGATCCTTCAGAAATCATTCTAATATGCTGATTTATTATCAATGTTTGATTATTATCAATGTTGTGTTTGCTTAATATTTTATGGAAACTGTTATCCTTTTTTCCAGAATTTTTTAATTAATAAAAATTTACAAGAACAGCATTTATTTAAAATAAAAATAGTTTGTAATAATATGTCTTTACTATAATTTGTTATCGATATAACATTTTGTTGTTGAATAATAGCATTAATTCAGCGTACTGACCCCAATTTTTTAAATGGTAGTCTATATAGTTACAAAAGATTAATTTTTTTAAATTATATACAATTTATATAAAAACTGAACAGATCAGGTGTGTTGAACTTGTTGAGTATTTGATCACTACCAATAAATACTCACCTTGATGTGCAGAACTTCTTTATCACACTCTTCTTTATTTCTTCCTGTGTGTTTAATCTTCTCTTGTAAAGATTTAAGTGCTCTACTGAGCTGATGCTAAAATGTAAGATTAAAATCTGTTCAATTTAAACATGACATTTGTCTGTTTCCATAGGTACTGTTATATGTACATACAGTGCCCCCAAAAAGTACTTCCAATCAAAACATTGAACAAAATAAGGTTTTGTTAAAGGGGTCCTATTATGCTCTTTTACAAAGTCTTGATTTTGTTTTGGGGGTGTACTAGAACATGCTCTCATGCTTGGTGGTTCGAAAAACGCATTATTTTTCACATAATTTACATTATTAAAATACCTTTCTCCCCAGCCCCGAATATGACAAAAGATTTACTGTTAAAAATGAAGCCAAATTAGGAGACTTTCTGGTTGTCAAATTTTGTAGTTCATGTTTATAATTTACACCTGTTGTTTATGAACTTGAGGGCAGCTGACTATACAGAATATCCTTGAGAAATGACCAACTGCTAAAAATAATTGAAAAAGTGACTTGAATGTCCAAATATTTTCGAGGGCACTGTAAGTAGTTTGAGCAAAATTAAACATTGGTCTGTTGTAAACATACATATTATTACAGTACTTCTATGATTGTAGTGAGTTGTAATGTCCCTTACCTTGTATGATGAAACTATTTCACTGATGGGGCAGAATTGGGGATTGGCATGTTTTCTTGAATCTTTGTACACTAAACAAATGTATCCTCCTTATCCATTTATCCTCCAGACAGAAGAGTTTGAGGGGCTCATTGTGCAGACTGCAGACCTCCTCAGACCCTGATGAAGAAATTTGACTCCTCTTTTCAGTGAATGACTCACATGCGTGGTTCATTCCTTGAGGATCTTCTCCTGCAGACGGGACATTCCTGAGTATTCTTGGTTTTCCAGAAGTGTTGAAGACATTCTTTACAGACATTGTGACCACATGACAGAATAACAGGAAAAACGGAAGATTTCACAGCACACGGGACAAGTGAGATCTTCCACAGATAGTAAATCAATTCTTACACTTATAGTGATGATCTGAACTTTACTTTGAATTTCTGAAGTGAGACTTCAAGTAAACAGCTATTATAATCAGAAGAAGCGTTTTCTTCACGTAAATGACTTTTTTTTTTTAACATTTATTATTAATGTTATTATTTTTTTGTGTGGTAGATAATGGCACAACAGAGAAAAACAAGAATCACTTCAGGAAGAGGGTGGAGTTTCTGATGGTGTAGACTGGATTTACAGTGCTGTGAAAAGTATTTGCCCGATTTCAGAAATAAAAACAAAGTCTCACACAAACCAAAGACAACCTGAGTAAACACAAAATATAGTTCTTAAATGATAACGTTACTTATCAAGGCAAAAAAAGTTATCCAATATCAAATAACCCTTTGTGAAAATGTATTTGCCCCCATAGTTCTATGAAACAGCATTTATAATGGGGATCAGCTAAACTAATCGGACCAAGCCTGATTTCTGCCAGCCCTACTCAGTTAAATCAACACTTAAAACTTTTTCAACATGAAGTTGGTTAAAGGTCTTCCTCAATAGCACACTATGCCAAAGTGAAAGAATTTCCAGAAATTATGAGAAAGAAGGTGACTGAAATACATCAGTCCGGAAAGGCATACAAAGCTATTTCAACGGCTCTGGGACTCCAAAGAACCAGAGCCATTATCTCAACAACAAAAAAAAACTGTCACTGCTTTATCATTACTTTGTAACTGTCAACTGCCAGGCAGTCATAGTAATAAATGTCTGATTAGCATCTGCTAAAACTTTATTTTTATGATCCCTCAACATTCATTTTACTGACTATAAGTAACTTTGCAAGTACATATCAACTAAACCTAACCCTAACCCTCCCTAACCTAACAGTCTGCTAACACTATATTGAGAGTTAGTTTACATGTAGTTGCAAAGTTACATATAGTTACTAGGATGTCTAAAGTGGACTGCTGAAATAAAGTGTAGCAAAGCGGAGAACGGTAAAGATTGTTTCCAGAAGTGGTCGACAACAATTCCTTCAAGAGCACAGCTCTGACTCATCCAGGATGTCACAAAAGAGCCATGGACAACTTCTTTAGTATTAAGTGGGTTTACCCTATTTAGAATGAACTACTTTTATTCTTATGCTGTATATTTGACAAAATGTCACCTGTATTTGTATCTGTATGTGAACCAGAAACAATACTAGGCACATTGTAGCTTCTCATTCATAGATACTTTTTATTTTGCTGGCATCTACCAGCATCACAAGGTATTACAGTGGCACATTGAGAACAAAAACAGCATTGTAGAGTTACGGGACAGTATGTAATAAATAGAAATAGGTTTCACACCCTCTAGAGAAATAATAATTTAATTAATTAGTTAATAATTTATTTCTCTTGAAAGCCCCTGGTTGGAGCAGCTCACAATGTTGTAAATACATTTTCTGGTTTTATTGTATTGATGTTGATCTGTCTGATATTTGGTATCTTCAAGGATGACTGTATTTCCCATGCCAACAAGAGCCTTTATGGAAGAACAGGACCATATCCCAGTTTTCCCTCTTCTGTGAAGGTTCATGTTCATCTAAACGACCACAGTATGTTGTGGTATTTTGTCCTCATCAACCCAAATTCAGGGTCATTTTCAGAACCAGTCACTCTTCAAAAGGTTTCCAATCAGGCCCCAGCGAGAATTGAACTCGCGACCCCTGGTTTACAAGACCAGTGCTCTAACCACTGAGCTATGGAGCCTCACCTGATGGCTGTCACTCATGTAAGTGACATAAAGAGCTCACTTTGAGCTAGCACAACAAAGACACACCTATAGGTGTGGGCAGACAGCCTGAGATGTCTTAACAGATTCATCAATGGTTTGAGGAAAAAGTCAAAGCTTAGGGTGTGAATCTCTTGGGGAAGTGGCTTGAGTAGTTGGTGGGGACTTTTAATAGTTGTAATACAGAATCCCTGCACATGTATGCATATTCTTACTTATAGGAAAACACGAATATCAATCAACACTCTTTTAAGCCGTGTTAGTCTGACATGATCAGACTCAGTCTAAACAACAGTCTGGCCACTTTCTTGTATCCCAACTGACTTAGTTTGTTTAAAAAGTGAGATTTTATTTACATAAACCCTGTTCTGAAAAGGAATCAGTAGCTGTGTAGATATATGTGGTGAAGAGAAGGCGAAGACAAACTTGAGAAGAGCTAGACTTCCTGGTTCTAGAGATGCCATTACAATTCACTCAGTATTACAGTCAGAACGAAAGACTTGAGAATGCAATAGAATCAGATTCATTTGACTGTAATAAGTTCATTTAGGAGTTCAAGACTAAAGGTCAGACACAAATACACTGGAATTGATTGCAGCTGCTTAAATCTTTCAAAGAAGATTCGGCACCATCGTTCCTTATTCTTACAAGCAGAATCTAAAACATGCCACATTTCGGTTAGTTTGCAAAATGGAAAATTAAGAACCTTTACTGAGAAAAAAATTGTTACAGATTGAACATTTCATTTTAAAGATTAATAAAACATGTAAAAACATCATTTTTGTGTGGATTCATCAAAACTATAAAACATTGGGAAGACTCTCTCTGTGAAGGTTGTTGTCAGTGTGTGTAGTGTTGTGTTAGTTACGGGATCACAGAATGACAGTTTTCTTCTGTCCCAGTCCAGCTCCAATCTCACCCTCTGAAGCTTTTCTTTAACTGGAAAGGTGCTGTTGGGTTTCTCTGGGTTTTGTGGGAAATGCACATGCACCAGACATTGGTGTAAAAGAAAGCTGTTCCCTTCCTTTGGATTGACTCTGTGGTTACACCAATAATCCAGTATGAATTGACTCCAACCTCCACATCCCAGAAGTGTGTTCCTGAGTTAAAGCCCTCTGAACCCAGAACGCAGGCATATGGGTAAAACCTCTCTGGGTTATTAGGAACCAGTTGTTGTGTCTTGCTATGTCTCAGACTGGTCAGATCATCAGACAGAATCAGACATGTATTTGCAGTGTTTGGGTCCAGAGTCACAAGAGCTGATAAGAGATACAAACAACAGGGTTACTCCATAGAACAATCTCCATAGAACTATAGTATAGGGCCCAATCTGTCTTGGGTCACTCTATGTATTCACTTTGTAATCAACTCTTAAAAATTAATTGGCATCAATGGTTCCACGAAGAACCTTTAACATCTATGGAATTCCAATGCACAGAAGGTTCTTTAAAGTGTTTCTTAGGATTATCACTCAAAGGTTCGTTGGGGAACCCAAAAATGGCTCTTTTGTGTCATTGCTGTGAAAACCTCCTCAAGCTTCTCCTTCATCTTCTGACTCTTCTGCTCTTCCTCTTTCCTCAGTTCAGTGATTGAAGCTTCTTCTTCATCTCGCAGAAACTGATGAATCTTCTTAAACTCCTCTTTAATCTGCCGCTCTGTGTGCTCAGCCTGAGTCTGAACATAAAAACAAACAAAATGATTCATAAATTTGAATGTGTTGAAAATGAATATTCTAAATACTCACCTTGATGTGCTGAGCTGTTTTATAGCACTATTTTTAAGTTGTTTTGTGCGTTTAAGTTTCTCTTGTAAGGACTCTAGTCTAGTGATGTATTGAGTTCCTCCTATAGAATGGATAAAGTTTGAATATTAAAATATGTTAAACTTCAGTTTCTCCAGGGACGTTTGCATATTCTTATAGGTATTTTATATGTGCATTAAGCACTGAGCCACAAATAGAAATGTAGAAATGTTGGACATTCTTTAATGATGTATTTTTTATGATTAATTTTTTATTTTATTTTCAGAGTTTAATAGTTCCAGCCAACTCTAATCATTTAATATGCGGTCAGAAATGTCAAGAACAGTTTGGGGTACTTAATGGGAAATTTTGTAAATAATTAAACATATAATATATATATATATATATTAAGATCTGTCTGTTCATGTGCTCAAGCTTCTCCTTCATCATCTGACTCATCTGCTCTTCCTCCTTTCTAAGTGCAGTGATTGTAGCTTTTTCTTCAATTTGCAGAAAATGATTAAGCTTATTAAATTCTTCCCTAATCTGCCGCTCACTGAGCTGAGACTGAGTTGGAATATAAAACAAACAACAGAGAAATCTATATCTACACTCTTAAAAAGGATTTGTTAAAAACAACACAACCTGTGTTGTTTCTTAATGCACCTCCGTGTCTAGTTAAGGACAACACTTTTTGTGTTACTTTTAACTCAACCAATGTGTTATTCCTGCTAATTTCTACACACTATAATGTGTTATAGTTACACAATTTGTGTCAATTATGTACAAAAAATGACACAAAACGTAAAAAATTTTTTTTTAAAATTAACATATCCTTTTTGAGAGCGTACACAGTAAAAGTATTACATACTTTTGTCTATGATGATGCAAATCATTAAATATTTAATATTGTCTCCTGACTTGATCTGATGAACTTTTTTATCACATTCTACTTTAATTTCTTTTGTGTATTCAAGTTTCTCTTGTAAGGTCTTCATTGCTGTTTTGAGCTTCTCCAAGAATAAGCAACATTGAAATGTGTAAAATTCCTGTTAACAGGAGACTTTAGAGTCTTCTGTTTGTGTGTAGTTTTATATATATACAGTGGGTACGGAAAGTATTCAGACCCCCTTAAATTTTTCACTCTTTGTTATATTGCAGCCATTGTGTGTGTGTGTCACAAAGGACCCGTCTATATATACATGATGTACATACATATCTTATATTTATTATATATTGTTTATAAAACATGTTGTTAATGTTTATAGAAAGATATTATTCTAAGAATATGAAATTAATAATACACCTTCCTTGTAAGATGGAACAACTTCATTAATGGGGCGGAATCTGTGACTGACATGTTTTTCTGAATCTCTGCACACAACACACACAGGCTGTTCATCATCCAAGCAGAAGAGTTTGAGTTTCTCATTGTGGAGACTGCAGACCTCCTCAGACCCTGAAGCACTTTCTACTGTCAATGACTCGCATGAGTTTTTTAACACCAGATTACACGGAGGTTCATTTCTTGAGGATCTTCTCCTGCAGACAGGACACTCCTGAGTATTGCGGGTTTTCCAGAACTGCTGAAGACACTCTTTAAAGATACTTTGACTACATGACAGACGAACAGGAATCTTCCACAGATACTGTTTTCACAGAAGCCATTCTGAATATTCTAATAAATAAAAATAATCTTCCTTTATTCCTTTTCAAAACCTTTTTTTTTTTTTTTTTCGATTTGATGCCTTTTCGATTTTGTCTGTCACACTTACTGGTGGGATTTGTAAAGGGTGGAGTGCTCGAATATTGAGCTTTTGAGGGCAGATAAGCTTTACCTGTCATTAGACTCTTACAAACACTCTTTTTTATTTGTGCATGTAAGCATCTCCTGAAGGATAATTAAATACTTTGAGAGGTAATATCAAGTGTGCAATGCAAGCATATCACACACTGAAATTTTAAAAAAAAAAGCATTTTAGTGGCTAGAATTTCCATGTGTATAACATACACATATTCACATGAATCAAAAAAATATATATATATAATAATTTTTTTTTAAATAAAATAAAAAATTATGTACTTTTTGTGTGTTAGTTGCTGCTGTATGGAATGCCAAATTTGCCAAAATAATAAATAGATGCATAAATAAATATACAAAGAAATACTATAAATAAATAAATAATGAGTATTTCTACTAATATTTATTTATTTTTGTATAACTGTAATTTTTCCACATTTATTTTTTATAGTTATTTTTTATTTATTATTTGAAAATAATATCTGGAATAAAATACATAGATTTATTTATGCATTTCTTTGTAGATTTATTTAGGCATTTATTTGTTTGTTTGTCTGTTTTAATATATATCTTGTATACCGGTATTTATATACGTATGCATGTATTTATTTATTATTTTGGCAACTACCGGAAAAGGAAAGGTTAAGCGGAGCTACACCTCTGATGACGTAAGCAGCGATGTAAGTGAACCAATCATCTTGTCCGGTGGGAGTGGAGGCGAACTAGGCTCGCAGGATCCGGGCGGGGTGAATGTATATGAACTAATGTAGCCTGATCAAACATCGACCACAAACTCAGTTACCCACTATTATCCTCAGGTAAGAATATTTATCTTTTGTTTGGCTGTAATGAGTTGCGCATGCAGTTCGTGCGACGATAGTGTGCAATGATACAGCGTATTTTAGATGCATTAGCGTTTGATATTTGTCCACGGTACAGTCACGCAGTTTGGAGTGTGTGCTAACTGAATCACTTTTTTTCTCATGAAATACAGGGACATTTATCCGATTGCGTTTCTCTGCGATGATATCTACTAAATTAAGTTGCCAAGCCCAAATGTAAACAATATGGCAACTTAGTAGCGAGTATGTATGCTGGATGATGTGAACGGGGCATAGTGCTCAACTGAGCCTTTTCCCTTTTTTGCAACTGTCGTTTTATTGTGAAATTATAATTTAAAATCGTTCTTACGACTGATATAGTGGTTATTTGGCATGGTTCAAGTAACCCGCCTGGTAGCTCCATGATTTGAACAGCATGTAATGACAAAGCGCGTGAAGCCTTGAGCTGTTTTTAGTACACCTCTTAATTTAACCCTATGTATCCATTCTGTCGGAAATCTAAATTTGCGAGTACTGTTTGCAAAAGGGGGTTAATTTTTTGTGGGGGGCTGGCCCCCTTATTTGAGGACCTCAAGTCAAAACAAAACGTAAAGTAAATATTTTTTATTTATTATAATTATATTTATTATAATTTTAAATTTTTTTTAATGTAGCCTATTCCAATAGCCAACACATTTCAAATGGCGTTTTCGAACGTTTCAATAACAACAAAAGTAAGATTTAAAAGTAGTAGTAATTGTTCACCTAAATAAGTAATAATTACAACAGTAATTGGTTGCTGATCAGTTTCCACTGGATAAAATATAATATATTTTATACTAAAATATAATAAAATATATTTTATACTAAAATATAATAAATGATATTTACTTATCACAAGAAAATAAGAACAACAACTTTAGTGTTGTGTTTAGACATCTATAAGATGGCGACAGATGCCAAAAGACAATTTGGGTTGGGCAAAGATAATCACTGACAGAAATTCCTTTAAAAATGAGACAGACCTGAAGGGCAGGGAATAATTGCAGTGTACATTGGGTTGCATTAGTTTTGCTTTATGTAATGGGTATAGGCCTGTCACGATAACAACTTTTTGTTGTGCGATATATTGCCCCAGAAGTAATCGCGATAAGCGATATTATTGTCATTTTAAAGACCATTTTATGCCACTGAATATATAATCATAATGTAACAGCATAATAATGCAAGAAGGCCTACACAATTCCAAACTTTTAATTTTTAAGAATATTTTGATCATGGAAATTAAGTATCAAAATATTAGATACCTTAAAAAACTTGAATAAATAGTAAATAAACATTTTCTAACATAAAGTGCAAAGTAACAAGTACAAAAAAAAAGAAAAATGCACAAAGAACTTGTATGGAGATTTTTCCATCTACAGATTTTTTTGACCTTTTCTCTGTAAATTAAGGGTGTACACTATTGCTGAAAAAAACAATCACTACTCAGCAGTCAGATCTCCGTATGCACAAAGGCACAGACCTCTAAACAAGACCATATCTAAATTTTTTTTGTTGAAGCATTTTTTAAATTGAATGAACTGGCACTAATGAACTACCACTTCATGACTACACCACATTATGTACGAGAAGCTGCAAAAGACACAGGCGCAAGTGGAATGTAAAAAACACGGTGACAGTAATTTTTAAGTAAATATAATGGGCGATATATTGCGTCACCAAAAATTATTGATGTCATGTACATATATTGCGTGATAAGTCGATATATTGATTATTGCGACAGGCCTAAATGGGTAAACGTTACAGGGGACAGTAATAGGCCAGTGGGACACTCAATGTGTCCAATGCCAAGAATGTGGCAGCATGGGACTATAAATAGCCTTGGGACACTCTCCCATCCTGAATGGAATGGCTTTTCCATGCCTTGACCTAGGGCTGGACAATAATTCAATATCAATATGTATCGCGATATAATTTTTCCTAATCCTTGTAGTAATCTTCTGATGATTTAAAATGTATAACCTACAGTCATTTGAAGTTACTTCTACATCAAGACTCAAGAACTTGATAATCAAGGTGTCAAAATTGTAAACCTGACTACTGATTTACTTGTATAGCTCTGTTTGAAATCTAGACAACTGTGAAAAATGAGTTTTGTTTAATCTTTCTAATTGAGCTATGGTTTTCCTGCAGGTCCTTTGAGGGTATATCATGGCTGCTACTTCCCAGGTGTTCAGGGTCATCCGTGGCAGGAGGTTTGGTCGAATACTGGTGCCAGCCATAACATGCCAAAACTGCAGCCGGTCTCCTCATCCATGCATCAGTGCAACTCAGCCACACAGCTTTGAACAAAGATGGCGGCACCAGGTGCGGGGATACAGGACCTCACCTGCATGGCACACCTACTACTTGACCCCACCTCAGGTTAACAGCATTCTAAAAGCTAACGAGTACAGCTTCAAAGTTCCTGAGTTTGATGGCAAGAACCTCAGTTCGGTCATGGGCTTTGACAGCAACCAGCTACCGGCAAATGCACCCATTGAGGATCGCCGAAGTGCAGCAACGTGCTTGCAGACCCGTGGCATGCTTTATGGCGTATTTGATGGCCATGCAGGCTGCGCATGTGCTCAGGCACTCACCGAGCGCCTCTTCTATTACATTGCCGTCTCATTACTGCCACATGAGACGTTGATGGAGCTGGAGAATGCGGTGGAGAGCGGAAGACCTCTTCACCCGATATTGCAGTGGCACAAGCATCCCAACGACTACTTCAGCAAGGAAGCTTCACGGCTCTACTTCTCCAGTTTGCGCACGTACTGGCAGGAACTGCTGGATCTGAGTGTTCCTGGGGAGCAACCGGATGTTGCTGAAGCTCTTGTGAGTGCCTTTAAAAGGTTGGACAATGACATTTCCCTTGAAGCGCAGGTTGGCGACCCGAATGCATTCTTGCACTACTGGGTGCTCCGTGTTGCATTCTCAGGCGCTACTGCATGTGTTGCACACATTGATGGTAATGAGCTGCATATTGCCAACACTGGAGATTGCCGTGCAGTCCTGGGCGTACAAGAACCTGATGGCTCTTTTTCTGCCCTCACACTCACCAACGACCACAATGCACAGAATGAATCTGAGATGAAGCGTGTGCGGTCTGAGCACCCGCTTTCTGAGGCCAAGAGTGTGGTGAAGCAGGATCGACTGTTGGGGTTACTCATGCCATTTCGTGCCTTTGGAGATGTTAAATTCAAGTGGAGCATTGAACTTCAGCGCCGTGTTCTTGAGTCCGGACCGGACCAGCTCCATGAGAATGAGCACGCCAAGTTCATCCCACCCAACTACCACACACCACCCTACCTTACGGCGGAACCGGAGGTGACGCGACACCACCTTCGTCCACAGGATCGTTTCCTGGTGCTGGGTTCGGACGGGCTGTGGGAAACGCTACACAGGCAGGAGGTGGTGAGGATTGTGGGTGAACATCTCACTGGAGTGCACCAGCAGCAGCCAGTCAGTGTTGGCGGCTATAAGGTGACCCTGGGTCAGATGCAGGGATTGTTGCAGGAGAGGAAGGCTCGCATCTCCTCCACCTTCGAAGACCAGAATGCTGCTACGCACCTGATTCGGCACGCAGTGGGGAATAATGAGTTTGGAATGGTGGACCATGAGAGGTTGTCAAAGATGTTAAGCTTGCCAGAGGAATTAGCCCGCATGTATAGGGATGATATCACAATCATTATAGTGCAGTTTAACCCACACGTCATTAGCGGACAGTAGAAGTGGACACACTCTTTCTTTCACATGCTCTGTTACATACATCATCAATTCTAATCTTACGCACAATCTCATCACACTGCATTATCAGTAATATCAGCACAGCGAAATGTTACCTATCTATAACAGTGGAATGTATTACTCTTGAGTGTATTTTTATGTTCATTTTTATTTTCACATATTCATGGCAGCTGCCTTTGAAAGGAATCTGAGTGGTGTTGATTCCCAGTGTTATATGTGGAATTAAGCCAAACAGAAAGAATTATGCTAAGCTCACCGCAGACCTACTATCACAATTAAACCGTCAAAATGCAACACAAAACCATAAATCAAGACTGGAAATGTACTAATGTAGGTTTAGCAGATTTTGCACTTAGGAGAGAGTTTATATAGTCCTTGTGTTGTGCCAAATTAATTGATTTTAATTTTTGAATGAATGAAAAAGGAAAGTAAAGCAAAGGTCATTTTTAAATGTTGAGTGAGAAAGAATGAGGATAGAAAGCAAAATAGGTCCAGATATGTACTTTTAAATTGGAGTGCTCTGTAACTGGGAGATGTCAAATGAGACGTTATCTTAAAGGGACAGTACACTCAAAAATTAAAATTCTGTCTCACCTTCATGTAATTCCAAGCCTGTATGACTGTATATGTTCAAAAACAAGATATTTGAAAAATGTCCCAGTGACTAAAAGTCAGTGGGGCCCAGTCTTATTTTGGACCCCACTAGCTTTCATTACATGGACACAAACTGTTACTCGTAATGCCTTTTTGTGTCCTGCAGGTTTCAGAATGACATAAAGGTGAGTAAATGATGACAGGATTTTAATTTTTACGTTAACTATGCCTTTAATGTTTTATTTAGGTTCTAATGAACCAAATGAGTTGCTAATGTCACTAATTATCCAGGGACATGAAAGCAGTAGTGGTGTGTTTTTCAGAATTTATTTTCTTGCAAACGATTTTATTTTAGTACCATTTGTATTCTATCTTTATTTGACTGATAAGTTCTTCTTTTTGTACGCATGCCTTAGTAGATACAGTTTTTCATGAAGCATGTCTTGGAGTTCAAGTGTCATCAAAACATGGTTTGCACAACCAAATTATCTTCTCATTACTGTAAAAGTCCTGATAAAGAGGTCTGCGTTATTTTTGTACCTGTACGTGGAATCAGAAGTTGAGCATTTGATTGTTTTTTGTAGCAAGGCAGAAGTTCCATATTGTTCCTTAATTGACACGTTTAACGTGTAAAATATAATTAAAGACATAACTGTTACTGCACACAAAAGATTCTCTGTTTCTTAAATATTATTCTTACCTCAGTCCCTTCTGACAATGAACTTTTATTTATAATGCTGCTGGCCATTTCTGAAATTCCTGTTTGGTTTTCTGATGTGTGGATGTGTGCTGAATTTCTCTGAAAGGTGAAGGAGAGGTATTTAAGGAAACCAACACAACAAACCAGATATGCTTACACTTCTTATAAGACGCAAACATACCTATATGATTACACTACAATGGGGGAAATGTGAACCTGAAGGATTTTTTGATTGTGTTTCCAAAGTAATTAATTTGGTTTTTAAGTATTTTTCCAGGTGTCACAACATTTTTCAAGTGATTACCGGCCACAAGATAGAGATTAGAATTTGAGTTCAATGTCATTTTTTTGGTCCGAGGGTTATTGAACAAGTTTAAAACCATAACTCTGTGATTGTGCTTTCTTGCCTGTTTTCATTATGTTCTCCGCTCTTGCACAAGAACAGCTGATTACCACATGAAATGTTTCGAATGATAGTCAATCAGCAAACAGTGTTATTAATGTAATACTGTAATAAAGTTATAGGCTTGCTGAAGTGTAAATACAGACTGCTTTATACTTGGAAGTAAATGTATGCTGCAGCTCGAAAAGTTTGAAATGTTTAGTATATTTAACAATATTACTATGTGCTGGTGCATGGGCATGACTTCTACAAATACTCTTGCCTTTTGTATTTCAAATGTTTTAATAAAAATGTAACCAAGTAAGTATTGTCCAATTTTTGTATTTTGTTGAAATGAATGCATGCAGAATAAAGGTTTCTACGTTTTTAAACTGAGCAATCCAGTCTAGCAGACCTAAACAGATCAAGGTGACTTTTGTTGAAGAAGCTGACTTTTTTGTTGAAGTGACTTTTGTCCAGAAGTTGCATTTCATTCTAGGAATGCACATTTATTTGTAAGAATAACTGAACTTCATGTGTGTTTGGAATGCTGCCCAAACAGAGCAGTTGGCTCAGGGTCAGGGGTCAAATCATCATGGTGTCAGATCACAGTCTCTGATTTGGCGAACTGTAAGTAGGTCAGTCTATCATAAGCTTCTATCATGACATGGCAATTCTGAAACTTTAAATGTCAAGAGTTCAGTGGGTTCAGGACATGCATATCTGCAGTTTCAAAGTAAAGGTTGTTATGTGGCCTATGAGCCTGACTTACAAGTGTAATGTCCTTGCCAAACGCCTACAGCCAGGTTGTTCATTATTCTGACAATACCCTTTAAAAGTCTGGATGATTTTTAAATGTTTTTGAAAGAAGCCTCTTATGCTTAAGTTCATAGAAGTGATATTTATCTAAATTGTTGTTTGTGAAAAGAATTTGAATTCTTCAGTGTCACATGATTCTTCAGAAATCATTCTAATATGCTGCTCAAGAAACATTTCTTATTAACAATGTTGAAAACTTTGAAAATGTCAAGTTTAAAAGAACAGCATTTATTTTATTTGGCATCTTTTGTAAAAATAGAAAGGTCTGTTGTAACTTTTGACTAATTTAATGCAGCCTTAATGAAAGTACTTTTAATTAATTTAAAAAAACTGACCCCAAACTTTTAAACAGTGGTGTATTAATATGGTACTATATACGTTATTTTAGACGAGGCTTAATATGCAATATTCTTCATCCACCAAGAGGCCCTTGGCCCAAATAAACAGGTAAACAATCCTTCTGTCACTCTGACAGATTATTTGACCCTGCAGGAGGTGTGTTTGCGTTTACAAAACTAATGAAGACATCCAAAAAGTTTGCAGACACAGCCAAGATTCTTGTAACATTAGAAACCGTGGGAATTAATTCAGTACAAAAGAAGTAAATAAAGAAACGAGGTTTTAATTGCATGTTTTTGTTTAATTGCATTTGCATGTAATCCAATTCTCCACCTGATGGCGCTAATCGTCAACAAACGGAAAAGGCTGGTATGGCTGTAGAGTAGCTCATCGAAACCACTTAAAATTTACACATGAAATACACTACAGCTTGAAAGACAATAATAAACTTTTTATATCTGTAACATAATGCATGTGGTGTATATTGCCTAAGGTGTGTGTTAATTATCTGTACATACGCTTGAGATGATTGACTGATCTACGGGGATAGTTGACCGATTGACAGTAAATAACGACGTTGACGCAAATCT